GTCTTACCTGGTCTGTACATTTTGATTCTGGTTTGAAGTCTGATCAAATTGATTCTTTAGAATTGTAAAAAATAAGACACTGTAAAATTTAATTGATTGAGTTTTGTTAGACAAGTTGACTCAAAGGCCACAGGAAAGTGAAACAATGGCCTTTTAAACATTGAGAAGCCCGAACTGAATTTTATAAATATTTTATTAAATCGTTAACTAAGATTTTATGGAATCAGTTGCTTGACTGTTAGAATTTGTAATTTTAATTAATTTAAATTTAATTATTATTATTAATTTTTTTTTTAATTTTAAAATTATTTATTATTTTAATTAATTTAAATTTGTAAATTAATTTTCGTAATTTTCTTGCTTCCTTTGATTTAAGCATATTTGCAGCATTATAATTTAAACTTAAGTTACTACGAGCACTGACTAAATGATACACCCGCCTTCCTCCTGTATTTAAGGAATGAATTTAATAGCTACCCATTTTATACGGTATAAACTGGGTTGTGGCAGTTTACGCTTTATAAACCGCGAAGCGGTTTATAAAAAAGCGTAAACTGTTCCAACCCAGTTTATACCGTATAAAATGGGTAGCTTTTAAATTCATTGCTTATAATTTAATTTTCATTCATTTGATGTAAGAAAAAAAGATGATTATTCTAACAAAATGACTTCAATTTGTACAAAATTTGAATGTAACGTCAGGCGGATTGATACGTTTTTGACGCAAGTCATTGTGACGTAGGCAACCCATTTTATACGATATAAAATAATTTTTTATCCAATCAAATACAGCGTTACAACCAGAATTAAATTATATAATTATGATTATGGTAATTATTTAGCCTATGGTTTGTTTTGGGTGACCCAAAATGATTAGTTCTAAATCGAAAAGTAAAATAGGAGGTGCATAATTGCATTATGTAAGAAAGAGTCTTTAAAAGTACCATTTAATTTTTTTCAATGGAATACTGTTAATTATATAATAATGTCGCATTATGCATGTACTATGCCTAAATAGTAGGCAGGGTTTGACACATGGTGCACGAGCCGGAGGCGAGTGCACTATGTGTCAAACCCTGCCTACTATTTAGACATAGTACATGCATAATGCAACACTATTGTTATTATTATGCTGACTGTTGTTATTATTTATGCGGCAATCCATTTTAATTTTTCCTAAAAATATTGTTGGTAACACAGCGCACTTGCAAAAACTCATTCAAAATCTTCATGCTAAAATTAGTTGCATCCTTAGTTATTTTGGTTACTAGTATTTTCTCTAAATAAGTCAGGATTTTCTGTCCCACAGATACTCATCTTTATTTTCTGTTTTGTTAGTAAGACTGATTTGTTTACAGAGGTGGATTCTCATTCATAATTTTCTTTTACATCCTTCAATCAAGCGCTATATAAAAAAGCGTTTTAATGACCCCATGATATCAATTCATCTAACGATCTGTATGTAATTAGTTTGAAACTTTGTTGTACACTTTTATCTAAGATTCCTTAGAATAAATATAACTGCTTTCAAATAAAATTTGTCTATTTTCTCCTTCTTGTGTCAATCGTATAAATTAAGTTTATATATTTAATAAAATTCTCTCAGTCAGTGATCGTCTCTCTGGCGTAATCGATTAGGCATCGGACTGGCAACTGAATGGTCGTGAGTTCGATTCCCGTGTGTGCATATAAGAATTTTATTCAGTAAATAAGACCGTGCACTATTTCGGCATAGTATGCTTACGCTATATAAATCCTTTTACCACTATGCGAGAATAGTAGGGTATGGGTTATATAGAGACAAACTGACAGGAAGCATAGTAATGTATTATATTAAGCGTGAACGATATTTGGCGGATATTGACTTTTGAATAAGTTAGCGAAAATTTGATTTAGCGCAGTTCTTCATTTTCTTCTTTATGTGTATATGTGCAAGACATTTAGCATTGTACTTGATTTATCCGCTAAAAAGAATACACAGCCAAATGTTATACATTTACAGTATTAGGCTTTGTGGATATCAGATACAAAACCTTCAATATTATAGAAAGAATGGCAGTGTCAATGTTTTGCTATGGAAAACTCAAAATATGTGTCTGATCAAAAAGTAAAATAGGAGGTCACAATGACATTCTTTTTACAAAGATTAAGTGAAGTCTCATCAAATAACATTCAATGGTATAAAATGAAAAGAGATGGGTACCCAAAGCATAACAAACAGACCTCTCAATCAATATATACCCTTCCTCTTTTCAAACGGGATGCAGTTTGACCCAACATGCTTAAGAAATCCATTACTGTAGATCACTAAATTTTCGCGACACATTATTTTCGCGAGATTGTCATTGACTCTTGATTAGCGAGACAAAATTTTCGCGAATTGTGATTAATTGCTATATATATTCTTAAGGAATACTATTATACTCGAGAATCAAATTTTCGCGAGCACACCGTCTTGTGAAATTACGCGAAAATAAAGTTCTCGCGAATAGAAATGATTTACAGTATATCAAAATATTTTGTCTCAATTACTGGGAGGATATACAGAGAGGGAGTTTTTTGCCAAACATTTGATCATAACTGAAGCCAATGAAAAATTCATATATATTATAAATATAATTGGGGCTGTTTTTGTTTTAATTAAGGAGGCTGAGGGGTCAACAAATTACCCACCAGATTTACCCTAAATTTTTAGATATGGTATCTTTAGCTGTAAACTTTCAGTTGGCAAAGATATTTTCATACATTTTATTTTCGAAATTTGATAATTTCTGTATATCTTTATATAATTTAATTTTGCTTGTATTCTTGCCTCTCATTGGTTGATTTCCAAAAAGGAACGCATAACATTTTGTATAATCTGGTTTGGTATGGGGACACACCCCCTTGACAACCAGCATAATCATCTGTATCCATCAATCCCCTCATTTCCAGTCCTTGGGATTCATGGAAAATTCCAGATTCAATGAATGTACCTTCAATTTCAAACAGTTACTCGATCTTACCTCATGTAAACAAGCATCATGGCTGCTATATCTACGTATCAGTTTTTACCTCCCCTCGCTTCCCATCACTTCCGTTACTACGGTTGTATTATTGCGCGGTAAATTTGAACTCATAAAAACAACACAATTTTACATCCCCAGTTGAATAATTATTTTAAAATTAAATTATTAGGAATGACTCTAATTCTTGGCCAAATTATCGAGTATAATATGGTTTGGGTCAGTTTAGGCTTTTTTATAATCCGCTTCGCGGATTATAAAGCGTAAACTGACCCAAACCATATTATACTCGATAATTTGGCCAAGAATTAGAGTCATTCCTTAAATGAAGCTCTAGAGAAGGTCAAAACAGCCTGAAAATTTCCACAACCCCAGCCCCTTTAATTAAACAGTATAATAAAAGTAAAAAGAAGCTCTAGAGAAGGTCAAAACAGTACGAAAATTTCCACAACCCCAGCCCCTTTAATAAAACAGTATAATAAAAGTAAAAAGAAGCTCTAGAGAAGGTCAAAACAGTATGAAAATTTCCACAACCCCAGCCCCTTTAATAAAACAGTATAATAACAGTAACTAAACAACATAAAGGTGTCCTTCCAAAAAAATTTTTTAACCATTTAGTCCTCAATAGATTTTTATGACCATTTCTTCGCGTTTATCTTTGTAGGATTTTATATAAGAAGAATTCATTCATTTCCTGGCTCTAAGTTATTTTTAAAATTAGAGGACAACTGAAATGTAACCTGCGTTACCTTGTTGAAATTATTGTAGATTGGCAAATAATCACGATATTTTTAATTTCCCTTTGTTCATGATTAATCATTTTTCCGTGAAATTAAACCCATGGCGAATGTTAGTACATTGTATTAGATTTTAAAACCTTTGAAATGCTAATACAAAACTTTTAAATAATTTCTTGCAGCCTGAAATTAAAAGCATTGTAATTGGTACTTTTTGAGATATCGTGAAATGTTTACACAGTGGAATAAAAACGACTCACAGTATACTCAAGATAAAGTGAGGTTTGATGAAATGATTGATTGGTTTTGTTTAATATCCCGTCCGAGAATTTTTCACCTTAATAGAGACGTCACCATAAACCAGTGAAGGGCTTCAAATGTAGACCATGACTGTCACTGAGCAGTGAGGGATCTTTATCATTGAGCAGTGAGGGATCTTTATCATTGAGCAGTGAAGGATCTTTATCGTGCCCACGCCTGCTGCGAGGCCTCCGTATTTAAGGTATCATCTGGAGAATCCGCACCTTTCTTCAATTCTAAGTGCCGTGCGCATGGCAATGAAACAGTTGCTATCTATTTCTTATTGACTAAGGTCAGTCGGGGTCGAAATTCTAACACACGACCTCCCGAGGACGGACCCAGCGACATACCGAATGAGCTACATATTACGGTTATCTAAACCAATTTTTCTGTTTATTTTTAAAGATCTTTCTATGAAGGATTTTTTATTCAATAGTTTTTTTTTAATGTGAAAGTAATAAAGTTTCACATATGAGTTATTGGGGGGTCAATTCTGTCAAACTAGTCCAGGATAAGGTTTCAGTTTGTGTTTGTCCCTCTAACGGTAAATCTTACGGTGGCACCCTTCCAGTTTGAAATTGTCAAACAATTGTAAAACATCCCGCGAAAGAGATTCGGCTTGTGACCGTAAAAATAAGGCGATAGCAATGTTAAATCTTACCGCGGTACATTGTATTATATTCTGTCGAAATTTATAGTAAATCTTTCCTTGGTATCTTTCCAGCTTAAAATTATCAAACTAATACGGTAACAATTGTTAATCTTATTGTGGCATTGATCCAGCTTTTGAGGGTTACAATAAGGCCGAAATAATGGTCCACCTTACCGCGCATCAGCAGAGCATGTGACTGTCACATTAAAGCTGTAAGAATTGTAAAAGTTACCACTGCATTTCACACTAAGGTGGCAACAATAGTAAAATGGTGGTAATAATCGTAAAATAATGGTAAAAACTTACCGCGGCGTCGTACCAGGTGGCGGTGGTTACACTAAGGCGGTAACAGTGATCTCTGAACTGTGTCCACCCGTCACCACATGCCTTAATATCTGCATATAAGGATAAACATTAAAGATATTAATATCTGTATAGAAGGATAAATATTAAAGATATTAATGCCTGTATAGATTGATTGATTGATTGTATATTGTTTAACGTCCCTCTCGAGAATTTTTCACTCATATGGAGACGTCACCGTTTGCCGGTGAAAGGCTTCAAATTTTGACCTTTACTCGGCACTCAGGGCCATTGAGCAGTGAGGGATCTTTATCGTGCCAACGCCTGCCGCTGACACGGGGCCTCGGTTTTTAAGGTCTCATCCGAAGGACCCGCAACTTTCACTTCAAAGTGCCGAGCGCATGGCGAAGGAACAGTTGCTACCAATTTTAACGACTAGGTCAGTCGCGGCCGAGATACGAACTCACGACCTCCCGATCACGGAGCGAGCGCTCTACCGACTGAGCTACCGTGAACGGTATGCCTGTATAGAAGATTAAACATTATAGATATTAATATCTGTATAGAAGGATCAACATTATAGATATAAATATCTGTATAGAAGGATTATGGATAGATAGAAGTATTAAGGTCCATCAACCATCTGGTAAGAGAGATAACTCTCGCGTAAAAATATACTATGTGACCAAGACGCTACGATTTGGTTTCATTGTATGCCAAATAATTATACAGAATGAGACAGACATGCTGTGTGTTTTATTTGAATGTTTATTCCGTATATACCTACATATATTTTACAATTCATTTACGATTCTATCGCAGAATAAATTTCTTTTGATGTGACAATTGATAATTAATGGGATTGTTCTCTAATTTTTAGCTCACCTCAACGAAGTGGGGTGGGGGTGGGTACGGGGGGATGTGCTTATGTGATACCGTCGGCCTCGGCGTCCAATGTTAAAGTTTTTGGAAAAGTTGTCTCGTACTTCTATGCCCTACGTCAATCAGATCTGCGTGCAGGATGTTTCTGTTTGGGTTTGTTTCATTGTACCAGTCAAGGTTTCAGATCCTGTAATTTCAGCTAAAGTTAATGTTTTTGCAGCAGGTCTGGTTTCAAAGTAACAATTAACCTCATGTTGAACAGTTTGGCATGGATGATACATCTAAGGATACACACTACCAAGCTTGCTTATGATGCTGGACGTTACTAACATTTTCTGGATGAATTAAAAACATTGGTTGTCCCCTACCGTCCGACTGGCGAAAAGGAAAATATTACTTCAACATTTTATTTACCTCAAGGGATCAAATATTTGATGCATTTTTGAAAAAAAAAAGATAAAGACTATTTTTCGCATACCAGTAGATGCTGAAATTTGTTGTGAAAAAAAATTCCAAAAAAAATCTGGGGGATATGGGCGGTTATGATTTGTTTCAATGAAAATTTTACGTGCATGTATATGTCACATTTAGCAAAATGTTATTGTGAAATATACCGTGAAATCTGTAATGATCGGGGTTTTGGGGTGTGGGATAGGGTGGGGTGTTAGGGTGTGTATATTGCTGTTGTTTTCAAGGCAAGGAGAGACCTACGATTTTATAAACACCACGAAATTAAAAAAGTATGTTTTTCTACTTACCATTCTCTAACCATGATATAAAGTCCCAACAAGGCAATATTTTTTTCTTAAACCTCAAAAGATTTGAACCCACGAAAATATATGATTTTACAGTAGTAAGCGTTAAGTATGCTTACCAGAGAAGAAGCTCCATCCCACGTCTGTAGTATACATCAGGTCTCTGCTACAGTTCTGTCTCAGCAGACGACAGGATCTCGGACGGCTGTGATAGAACACCGCGACACACGGCGACATCACACACCTCAGGGTACACTCTATAAATCCAGACACTTCAGGTTCAGATACAAAGCAGGATCCGTCCGTGGCTATCATGTTATCCAGATCCGGAATAATCCTTAAATTCATTGTGTTTCTGTCTGCTTCACATGCAATAAACTCCATAGATACCAAAATAAAAATCAGACCAAACTGTGTCTTGAACAAACCAGATCGTCTCTTATACTGTACGTCTATCATCCTGTCTTTTAGATTTGATACTTTTATCCGAGTACTTAGAGCTGCTGCAGAGGATATATAACTGTACAGTAATAGGAACCGGAATACAATTGTAAAAAAGCCATGTTAAAAGAAAAATCAATGTTAAACTGTCATTAAAATTGTATGCGCTTGAACACCAATGCTGCTCTGCTTATAAAATATTCACACACTTAATTTCTTGCTCTTTCGCGCTTGCAACCACTTAAGTGCATATTTCTGGAATAACTTTTCATACGAAAAAAGACATGATCCGATTTTTCGTGCTGGTCTTTCCCGTCTGCTAAGTGCGATATACATTCCCTACGTCATAGACAGACAAAACGCTCTAGATCCGGCTTTAGGTTTCTATTTTTAATTTATTGCCTATTAAACCTACACAAAATGTACAAAAAAGAAAATCTAAAGTCATAGAATGCCACAATTTTAAACATATTTAGCATTCCTTGAAGTTCGGTCCGAAATACCTGACATTTTTCATGCTTTTTCATGATTTTGATATTTTACGTGCCGTGGCGTCAGGAAATCACAGTCGTAATAAAACCTGAATATTTCGGACTACTTACCTGGATATTTCGGACTACTTACAGTAATGCCATCTTCCTGGATAATTCTGACAAGCTTGGAAGTTTTTTTTTTCAGATTATTTTGGAAAGACGTGTCAATTTAGTTTTTATCATCAGTCAGAAAATACAAATACATATGATTTTAAGTTTCTGTTTTTTGTCTAACCTGCCGCTGAATGAACAAAAAATACCAGTCGCTCGGGGCTTGAACAACTGTTATTTCTAAAATTCTAATCAATACTTAAGTTTTCTAATGGACCGTGTAACACTTAACAATTCAAATTTCTAAAACGATTTAGAGTTTTAGAATGTTAATATATTAGTTCAAATATCTAACTATCAAAAACTCAAACTGATTTGGTATATTGAAATTTAATATTTTATTTCAAAAATCTGAAATTTCTCCGCTATTGATATACCTTTATATTTATAATAGGTTTCGAAGCATTTCATAAAAAAAAAGAGTGATGGCTATATCAAGTATATCAGTCATTTCTCGCGTCTGCACGTGTATGTGTATGCCTGCAAAACGCACACTTACACATCATACATGTACAAGTTTATTACACCTGATAAGGTTTCACCTCATTCGGGTTAGCAGTGTCTGAAAACACTCGCGGACTACAAAGTACTGGAGAACAATTTTGAAAAAAAGAAAGAAAAAAAAACATTTTCCCAAACCCTCGTTTTGGAAACATAAATCCAAAATGCTTAAAGTACATGGGCAAGTCAGGAATTATGCAAGCTGCAGATCTGTAGCTCTCCGAAAAAATATAATATTAATAGACCGGAGAGCTACAGTACCAGATTAGATTATAATCAGACTAAATCTGTATTTGGGGTAACATTTTGAAAATATTTTACAGAAATTTCTATCTTTAGTAACCAAGGCAATAATGTTCATCGAAATCAAAAACCGATACACAGAATTGTGTATCTTATTGTAGTCTACTTGTGTGCCAAGTTATATTGAAATCAGACTAAAACTGTAGGAGGAGTAGCATATTGAAAAAAAAAGTTTACAGACAGACAGACGGACGGATGCCGGACGCATTACTATCGCATAAGCTCTTCTGGTCTCTTACCAGTATTAATCCAGCCGTAGTGTTTGAAAAATTCGCAGATAGGCTAAATTTTCAATTTCTAATTACATTGCATTCGTTACAAATAAATCGATATATCAGTTGGAAATGATTTGCTATACAGCTTAACGTAGAAGAATCAAAGCAGTTTCTGGTTTCTCTAAATAGGACCGGTGTGCTTTTCTATATCAGGGCTGCCCCCTTTTTTAAAGTAACTTTTTTTAACTATAAGTAATGTTCATTGAAAGGCCGGTTTTTCACCCACTTTTTGTAAGAGCCCCCCCCCCCCTCTCGAAATAGGATTTTTGAGTTTGGGCAATTTCCTTTTTTTCTAGGCTTGTCTAGTCTTTTTCAGGTAGGTTGAATTTTTTTCTCTGGTCCCCCTCTTTAAAAGAGACGCTGCTAAGCCACGGTATACATTGTGCTTTAAATACACTTCTGATGTTTCAATTTTGAGTGAAAAAAAACTTTTATGTATTTAAATAAATATATTTTCAAGTTAATCAATAATTTCCGCTCGATCGATTGATATCTATTCAGAATCCTATGTACGGACATCTGATGGTTCTATTATTTTTAATTAATCGAATTTTTGTTAATACATGTAGTTAACAATAGGTACGATACATTATACGTTATATATGTCGATTATCACAGCTTTATTCCTGATCAGTTAGACAACAGTTAATAGTTAACAATAGGTACGTCACATTATACGATATATATGTCGATAAACACAGCTTTATTCCTGATCAGTTAGACAACAGTTAACAGTTAACAATAGGTACGTACCTTATACGTTATATATGTCGATAAACACAGCTTTATTCCTGATCAGTTAGACAACAGTTAATAGTTAACAATAGGTACGATACATTATACGTTATATATGTCGATAAACACAGCTTTATTCCTGATCAGTTAGACAACAGTTAATAGTTAACAATAGGTACGTACATTATACGTTATATATGTCGATAAACACAGCTTTATTCCTGATCAGTTAGACAACAGTTATTAGTTAACAATAGGTACGTACATTATACGTTATATATGTCGATAAACACAGCTTTATTCCTGATCAGTTAGACAACAGTTATAAGTTAACAATAGGTACGTACATTATACGTTATATATGTCGATAAACACAGCTTTATTCCTGATCAGTTAGACAACAGTTAACAGTTAACAATAGGTACGTACATTATACGTTATATATGTCGATAAATACAGCTTAATTCCTGATCAGTTAGACAACAGTTATTAGTTAACAATAGGTACGTACATTATACGTTATATATGTCGATAAACACAGCTTTATTCCTGATCAGTTAGACAACAGTTAACAGTTAACAATAGGTACGTACATTATACGTTATATATGTCGATAAACACAGCTTTATTCCTGATCAGTTAGACAACAGTTATTAGTTAACAATAGGTACGTACATTATACGTTATATATGTCGATAAATACAGCTTTATTCCTGATCAGTTAGACAACAGTTAACAGTTAACAATAGGTACGTACATTATACGTTATATATGTCGATAAACACAGCTTTATTCCTGATCAGTTAGACAACAGTTATTAGTTAACAATAGGTACGTACATTATACGTTATATATGTCGATAAACATAGCTTTATTCCTGATCAGTTAGACAACAATTATTAGTTAACAATAGGTACGTACATTATACGTTATATATGTCGATAAACACAGCTTTATTCCTGATCAGTTAGACAACAGTTAACAGTTAACAATAGGTACGTACATTATACGTTATATATGTCGATAAACACAGCTTTATTCCTGATCAGTTAGACAACAGTTAATAGTTAACAATAGGTACGTACACTATACGTTATATATGTCGATAAATACAGCTTAATTCCTGATCAGTTAGACAACAGTTATTAGTTAACAATAGGTACGTACATTATACGTTATATATGTCGATAAACACAGCTTAATTCCTGATCAGTTAGACAACAGTTATTAGTTAACAATAGGTACGTACATTATACGTTATATATGTCGATAAACACAGCTTTATTCCTGATCAGTTAGACAACAGTTATAAGTTAACAATAGGTACGTACATTATACGTTATATATGTCGATAAATACAGCTTTATTCCTGATCAGTTAGACAACAGTTATTAGTTAACAATAGGTACGTACATTATACGTTATATATGTCGATAAACACAGCTTTATTCCTGATCAGTTAGACAACAGTTATTAGTTAACAATAGGTACGTACATTATACGTTATATGTGTCGATAAACACAGCTTAATTCCTGATCAGTTAGACAACAGTTAACAGTTAACAATAGGTACGTACATTATACGTTATATATGTCGATAAACACAGCTTTATTCCTGATCAGTTAGACAACAGTTAATAGTTAACAATAGGTACGTACATTATACGTTATATATGTCGATAAACACAGCTTTATTCCTGATCAGTTAGACAACACAACAGTTAACAGTTAACAATAGGTACGTACATTATACGTTATATATGTCGATAAACACAGCTTTATTCCTGATCAGTTAGACAACACAACAGTTAACAGTTAACAATAGGTACGTACATTATACGTTATATATGTCGATAAATACAGCTTTATTCCTGATCAGTTAGACAACAGTTCTGGAGGAATAACGATAACGTTCTCAATGAAGAAGAAAAAGAATATAAGCACCACCAGCGAAGTCCAATATTTGTGTGGTTAATGTAATACCGACATAAAGAATGTATATATTGAAAAAAAAGATGTTTAAGCTGAGTTTTACAGAATCAGTGCCTTCAGAGCAAATTATTCAAATGAAAGATAAAAATATATTGAAAAATTGATTTAAGTATTGAAAATATTTTCATGAAGCCCTGGGTCAGGATACTTGTGTTTTAAATAAAGCTTTGTTCTGTTCTGTTTTCTGAAAGATCGCGCAAAATAAAAATAAAGTCTAAAATCATGTTTATTCTATAAGCCTGGGGTTTATGTGGGCTCCTAATAACCCTTCAGAGTTTTATTTACAAAAGAATTACTAGAAAAAATTAAAAGAATGTACAAATGATAACTAAACTCAACTTTACATGATCTTAAAGTTTTGATTTGAGCGTTTCGATGTCTTAATAAAAGTCCGATATCCTCATTTTTTAAAAAAATAAAATTACATACGAACAAATACATCGTATAACCCACAAAATATTTTTTTTATATAATTATTTCTATCATTATCCAATGATTTGAAAGATTAAAATGGGTCACTATAACCCACGAATTTTTTTTTTACATATTTATTTCTATCATTATCCAT